GGAGGAGGGCGGGGGTAAGCAGGAGGGGGAGCAAGCCGAGAGGAGGAGGGCGGGGGTAAGCAGGAGGGGGAGCAAGCCGAGAGGAGGAGGGCGGGGGTAAGCAGGAGGGGGAGCAAGCCGAGAGGAGGAGGGCGGGGGTAAGCAGGAGGGGGAGCAAGCCGAGAGGAGGAGGGCGGGGGTAAGCAGGAGGGGGAGCAAGCCGAGAGGAGGAGGGCGGGGGTAAGCAGGAGGGGGAGCAAGCCGAGAGGAGGAGGGCGGGGGTAAGCAGGAGGGGGAGCAAGCCGAGAGGAGGAGGGCGGGGGTAAGCAGGAGGGGGAGCAAGCCGAGAGGAGGAGGGCGGGGGTAAGCAGGAGGGGGAGCAAGCCGAGAGGAGGAGGGCGGGGGTAAGCAGGAGGGGGAGCAAGCCGAGAGGAGGAGGGCGGGGGTAAGCAGGAGGGGGAGCAAGCCGAGAGGAGGAGGGCGGGGGTAAGCAGGAGGGGGAGCAAGCCGAGAGGAGGAGGGCGGGGGTAAGCAGGAGGGGGAGCAAGCCGAGAGGAGGAGGGCGGGGGTAAGCAGGAGGGGGAGCAAGCCGAGAGGAGGAGGGCGGGGGTAAGCAGGAGGGGGAGCAAGCCGAGAGGAGGAGGGCGGGGGTAAGCAGGAGGGGGAGCAAGCCGAGAGGAGGAGGGCGGGGGTAAGCAGGAGGGGGAGCAAGCCGAGAGGAGGAGGGCGGGGGTAAGCAGGAGGGGGAGCAAGCCGAGAGGAGGAGGGCGGGGGTAAGCAGGAGGGGGAGCAAGCCGAGAGGAGGAGGGCGGGGGTAAGCAGGAGGGGGAGCAAGCCGAGAGGAGGAGGGCGGGGGTAAGCAGGAGGGGGAGCAAGCCGAGAGGAGGAGGGCGGGGGTAAGCAGGAGGGGGAGCAAGCCGAGAGGAGGAGGGCGGGGGTAAGCAGGAGGGGGAGCAAGCCGAGAGGAGGAGGGCGGGGGTAAGCAGGAGGGGGAGCAAGCCGAGAGGAGGAGGGCGGGGGTAAGCAGGAGGGGGAGCAAGCCGAGAGGAGGAGGGCGGGGGTAAGCAGGAGGGGGAGCAAGCCGAGAGGAGGAGGGCGGGGGTAAGCAGGAGGGGGAGCAAGCCGAGAGGAGGAGGGCGGGGGTAAGCAGGAGGGGGAGCAAGCCGAGAGGAGGAGGGCGGGGGTAAGCAGGAGGGGGAGCAAGCCGAGAGGAGGAGGGCGGGGGTAAGCAGGAGGGGGAGCAAGCCGAGAGGAGGAGGGCGGGGGTAAGCAGGAGGGGGAGCAAGCCGAGAGGAGGAGGGCGGGGGTAAGCAGGAGGGGGAGCAAGCCGAGAGGAGGAGGGCGGGGGTAAGCAGGAGGGGGAGCAAGCCGAGAGGAGGAGGGCGGGGGTAAGCAGGAGGGGGAGCAAGCCGAGAGGAGGAGGGCGGGGGTAAGCAGGAGGGGGAGCAAGCCGAGAGGAGGAGGGCGGGGGTAAGCAGGAGGGGGAGCAAGCCGAGAGGAGGAGGGCGGGGGTAAGCAGGAGGGGGAGCAAGCCGAGAGGAGGAGGGCGGGGGTAAGCAGGAGGGGGAGCAAGCCGAGAGGAGGAGGGCGGGGGTAAGCAGGAGGGGGAGCAAGCCGAGAGGAGGAGGGCGGGGGTAAGCAGGAGGGGGAGCAAGCCGAGAGGAGGAGGGCGGGGGTAAGCAGGAGGGGGAGCAAGCCGAGAGGAGGAGGGCGGGGGTAAGCAGGAGGGGGAGCAAGCCGAGAGGAGGAGGGCGGGGGTAAGCAGGAGGGGGAGCAAGCCGAGAGGAGGAGGGCGGGGGTAAGCAGGAGGGGGAGCAAGCCGAGAGGAGGAGGGCGGGGGTAAGCAGGAGGGGGAGCAAGCCGAGAGGAGGAGGGCGGGGGTAAGCAGGAGGGGGAGCAAGCCGAGAGGAGGAGGGCGGGGGTAAGCAGGAGGGGGAGCAAGCCGAGAGGAGGAGGGCGGGGGTAAGCAGGAGGGGGAGCAAGCCGAGAGGAGGAGGGCGGGGGTAAGCAGGAGGGGGAGCAAGCCGAGAGGAGGAGGGCGGGGGTAAGCAGGAGGGGGAGCAAGCCGAGAGGAGGAGGGCGGGGGTAAGCAGGAGGGGGAGCAAGCCGAGAGGAGGAGGGCGGGGGTAAGCAGGAGGGGGAGCAAGCCGAGAGGAGGAGGGCGGGGGTAAGCAGGAGGGGGAGCAAGCCGAGAGGAGGAGGGCGGGGGTAAGCAGGAGGGGGAGCAAGCCGAGAGGAGGAGGGCGGGGGTAAGCAGGAGGGGGAGCAAGCCGAGAGGAGGAGGGCGGGGGTAAGCAGGAGGGGGAGCAAGCCGAGAGGAGGAGGGCGGGGGTAAGCAGGAGGGGGAGCAAGCCGAGAGGAGGAGGGCGGGGGTAAGCAGGAGGGGGAGCAAGCCGAGAGGAGGAGGGCGGGGGTAAGCAGGAGGGGGAGCAAGCCGAGAGGAGGAGGGCGGGGGTAAGCAGGAGGGGGAGCAAGCCGAGAGGAGGAGGGCGGGGGTAAGCAGGAGGGGGAGCAAGCCGAGAGGAGGAGGGCGGGGGTAAGCAGGAGGGGGAGCAAGCCGAGAGGAGGAGGGCGGGGGTAAGCAGGAGGGGGAGCAAGCCGAGAGGAGGAGGGCGGGGGTAAGCAGGAGGGGGAGCAAGCCGAGAGGAGGAGGGCGGGGGTAAGCAGGAGGGGGAGCAAGCCGAGAGGAGGAGGGCGGGGGTAAGCAGGAGGGGGAGCAAGCCGAGAGGAGGAGGGCGGGGGTAAGCAGGAGGGGGAGCAAGCCGAGAGGAGGAGGGCGGGGGTAAGCAGGAGGGGGAGCAAGCCGAGAGGAGGAGGGCGGGGGTAAGCAGGAGGGGGAGCAAGCCGAGAGGAGGAGGGCGGGGGTAAGCAGGAGGGGGAGCAAGCCGAGAGGAGGAGGGCGGGGGTAAGCAGGAGGGGGAGCAAGCCGAGAGGAGGAGGGCGGGGGTAAGCAGGAGGGGGAGCAAGCCGAGAGGAGGAGGGCGGGGGTAAGCAGGAGGGGGAGCAAGCCGAGAGGAGGAGGGCGGGGGTAAGCAGGAGGGGGAGCAAGCCGAGAGGAGGAGGGCGGGGGTAAGCAGGAGGGGGAGCAAGCCGAGAGGAGGAGGGCGGGGGTAAGCAGGAGGGGGAGCAAGCCGAGAGGAGGAGGGCGGGGGTAAGCAGGAGGGGGAGCAAGCCGAGAGGAGGAGGGCGGGGGTAAGCAGGAGGGGGAGCAAGCCGAGAGGAGGAGGGCGGGGGTAAGCAGGAGGGGGAGCAAGCCGAGAGGAGGAGGGCGGGGGTAAGCAGGAGGGGGAGCAAGCCGAGAGGAGGAGGGCGGGGGTAAGCAGGAGGGGGAGCAAGCCGAGAGGAGGAGGGCGGGGGTAAGCAGGAGGGGGAGCAAGCCGAGAGGAGGAGGGCGGGGGTAAGCAGGAGGGGGAGCAAGCCGAGAGGAGGAGGGCGGGGGTAAGCAGGAGGGGGAGCAAGCCGAGAGGAGGAGGGCGGGGGTAAGCAGGAGGGGGAGCAAGCCGAGAGGAGGAGGGCGGGGGTAAGCAGGAGGGGGAGCAAGCCGAGAGGAGGAGGGCGGGGGTAAGCAGGAGGGGGAGCAAGCCGAGAGGAGGAGGGCGGGGGTAAGCAGGAGGGGGAGCAAGCCGAGAGGAGGAGGGCGGGGGTAAGCAGGAGGGGGAGCAAGCCGAGAGGAGGAGGGCGGGGGTAAGCAGGAGGGGGAGCAAGCCGAGAGGAGGAGGGCGGGGGTAAGCAGGAGGGGGAGCAAGCCGAGAGGAGGAGGGCGGGGGTAAGCAGGAGGGGGAGCAAGCCGAGAGGAGGAGGGCGGGGGTAAGCAGGAGGGGGAGCAAGCCGAGAGGAGGAGGGCGGGGGTAAGCAGGAGGGGGAGCAAGCCGAGAGGAGGAGGGCGGGGGTAAGCAGGAGGGGGAGCAAGCCGAGAGGAGGAGGGCGGGGGTAAGCAGGAGGGGGAGCAAGCCGAGAGGAGGAGGGCGGGGGTAAGCAGGAGGGGGAGCAAGCCGAGAGGAGGAGGGCGGGGGTAAGCAGGAGGGGGAGCAAGCCGAGAGGAGGAGGGCGGGGGTAAGCAGGAGGGGGAGCAAGCCGAGAGGAGGAGGGCGGGGGTAAGCAGGAGGGGGAGCAAGCCGAGAGGAGGAGGGCGGGGGTAAGCAGGAGGGGGAGCAAGCCGAGAGGAGGAGGGCGGGGGTAAGCAGGAGGGGGAGCAAGCCGAGAGGAGGAGGGCGGGGGTAAGCAGGAGGGGGAGCAAGCCGAGAGGAGGAGGGCGGGGGTAAGCAGGAGGGGGAGCAAGCCGAGAGGAGGAGGGCGGGGGTAAGCAGGAGGGGGAGCAAGCCGAGAGGAGGAGGGCGGGGGTAAGCAGGAGGGGGAGCAAGCCGAGAGGAGGAGGGCGGGGGTAAGCAGGAGGGGGAGCAAGCCGAGAGGAGGAGGGCGGGGGTAAGCAGGAGGGGGAGCAAGCCGAGAGGAGGAGGGCGGGGGTAAGCAGGAGGGGGAGCAAGCCGAGAGGAGGAGGGCGGGGGTAAGCAGGAGGGGGAGCAAGCCGAGAGGAGGAGGGCGGGGGTAAGCAGGAGGGGGAGCAAGCCGAGAGGAGGAGGGCGGGGGTAAGCAGGAGGGGGAGCAAGCCGAGAGGAGGAGGGCGGGGGTAAGCAGGAGGGGGAGCAAGCCGAGAGGAGGAGGGCGGGGGTAAGCAGGAGGGGGAGCAAGCCGAGAGGAGGAGGGCGGGGGTAAGCAGGAGGGGGAGCAAGCCGAGAGGAGGAGGGCGGGGGTAAGCAGGAGGGGGAGCAAGCCGAGAGGAGGAGGGCGGGGGTAAGCAGGAGGGGGAGCAAGCCGAGAGGAGGAGGGCGGGGGTAAGCAGGAGGGGGAGCAAGCCGAGAGGAGGAGGGCGGGGGTAAGCAGGAGGGGGAGCATAGAGAAGTAGGCAGTAAATGCACCCTGACTCCCACAACTGCCCTCTCTTCTGAAAATTCTCAAAGTCACGACCGCCCTCTCTTCCGCTCCCTCTACTCCCTCCCCCACCCCCCGTGCAGGTGTCTCACGTCTTGTCGAGCTTGTGGCCGCCTGCAGACCAGGAGGAGGAGGAGGCAGCAGCAGCAGAGGAGGAGGTGGGCGAGGCAAAGCGCGGGCCCACGGGCGGGCTGAAGGGCAGAATGTCGTCTGATATGCGCAGACGAGCCTTGAGCGCGTTGGAGGAAAGGGGGGACGGCTGGTGGGAGGGGAGGGAGGGGTGAGCGTGGGGAGAGATGGTGGGAAGAGAGAGGAGTGCGTGAATGCACTCTGGGTTGCTGCCCCATGCTGAGGCTGAAGGGCAGAATGTCGTCTGATATGCGCAGACGAGCCTTGAGCGCGTTGGAGGAAAGGGGGGACGGCTGGTGGGAGGGGAGGGAGGGGTGAGCGTGGGGAGAGATGGTGGGAAGAGAGAGGAGTGCGTGAATGCACTCTGGGTTGCTGCCCCATGCTGAGGCTGAAGGGCAGAATGTCGTCTGATATGCGCAGACGGGCCTTGAGGGCGTTGGAGGAAAGGGGGGACGGCTGGAGGGATTTGAAGGGGAGGGGGGATAATGGGAGAGAGGAAGAGGGTGGAAAGGAGAGGGGGGCATGACTGCACATGGGGCTAACCCTCGGGCGGGCTGAAGGGCGGAGTGTCGTCTGATATGCGCAGACGAGCCTTGACCGCATTGGAGGAGAGGGGAGACGGCTGAGGGGATGGGAGGCAGAGGTGAGTGGGTGGTTGAGAGGCAGGGGAGAGTGGGGGGAGAGGGGGTGGAAAGAGACAGGGGGCCTTGAATGCACACATTGATGCACACATTGATGCACACATTGATGCACACCCATACTGCAAAAGGGAGCCTTAAGCGCGCTGGAGGAGAGGGGAATGGCTTGACCAAGAGTGTAGGGGATGGGAGACGGGAGAGGGGGGAGGAGGGAAGACGAGAAACTGGGACGAAGAAAGAAAAGAGTGCTAAATGGAAGAAGGGAAGGTGGTGGTGCTGCAAGAACGGACGTTGGGAAGAAGGGTGGCAAAACAAATCTAACAGTGGATGAAGTGCACAAGATGGTGGATTCCAAAAGTGAGTGATAAGCACGCATGGTTGTGTGCATGTCGATTAGTGCACCCATGACTAAGGATGGGAGATGTACCCCCCCCTCCCCCTCCAAGCACGCATGCTTGAGTGCATGTCGATTGGTGCACCCATGATTACCTGGTTGCTCTGAATCTCCTGCGTGAGGTGATGCAGCTTGATGTCCTCGATATAAGGATGGGAGATGTACCCCCCCTCCCCCTCCATGCCCAACTGCTCCGCCACCTGCTTCACGCGCTTGCGGTCCTTACCTATCACCTGCATGCAACGGCACACAACAACAAGAGACCAGCAGACACAACAGACAAGCACACCATGCGGCTCTTTAGCATACCGGTTTCACAAGCTTGCGGTCCTTGCCTATCACCTGCACGACAGGAACGCAACAGACGAGCACACCACCTTCAGCCATCTCCACTCAAGACCATACCATCTTTTGAGGCGCCTCAAAAGTCGTCTCATGTCTCGCGGTTTTTATGTGGGGAGAATTATAATTGCATGGAAGTGTGCACGTAACCTTCAGCGGTTACTCGTAAGGGCGCGGTTACCAAAGTCACTCGCAAATGCTGTCGAAGAAGTTCCCGAAGGCTGACTTGGCACCCTGAATTTGTTTCATTGCCTAGTTGGCGAACCCCTTTCCTAGTTGGATTCTGGGTAGTTGGGTTTCTTATACGTAGATCTCGAGGGTAGTCTAGCTATTTTAGCTGCTACCAGACTCTCTGTTTCTGAGTTCCGAATTGTGCTGTACTGATGAAGGCGTGATTGGGTTCGCCCATCCGCCGAAACTAGTTTACGCAAGGAGGCTTTTCGGAAGCTAAGGGTTTTTTCAGATCTGCGTTTTTCTCACCTTTTTTCACTGTTTGATTCCTTTGCTTAAGCGTCCTCTCTACTACTGCAGCCCTTCGAAACATGAGTCAGGGTGACCCTTGGATACCGAATGGTTTCCAGAAAACGAAGAGGCCGGTACCGAAGGACGCGGCTCGTCGAAGAAAGCTCGTGGGCGCGGAGGATCGTCGCGTCCTGCTACCAGGAGTGCATCGAAGCACTCGCGGGACGGCAGTCGTATTCCGCCTTTGCAGTTGACCTACGAACCTGTTTCACGAAGCAAGCAACCTGAGATTCCTCCCCCCGGACCTTCTGGGAGTCGTCCAAGCATGGAGATGCCGGATCAGCCCGTTGACAATTCTCCGATTCCTGAAATTTTCAAGAGTTGGACTACTGCAGCGGTGAAAGATTTCCGGGACGGCTTCAAGGACCTTCTTAAAGCGAAAAGCAAGCTTAAAAAGATGAAGGAGTTGGATCGCCAAGGTTCTATTCTGCACAGCATCAGGACTAAGGCGGTCGAATTCCAGACGAAGAACGACTCCGTCAAAGAGAAATCTGCAGCAGCTGTCGCGAAGATCCACTTGGAGAATAAAAAACGGCTGCAGGCGGAGTTTATCGCTTCTAAAGAACTGGAGGTTGAAGAAATTCAGGCAGCTGTCGGCACGCATGTCACGACTCTGGCGACGAAGATGGAAGAGTACATCAAGGGCCTCAGCTCCGACCCCGATCTGGTGGTTTCTGATACCGCCAAAGAACGCTATCGGCGACTGAAGGGGCGGTGCATCGAGAAGGCTCAATCTGACATCGCGGCGGCCAAGGATGAGATGACCATCCGAGAGATCGATCGACAGCATAAGCTGGCGGCTGAGGATTTGAAGAAGGCTGCTGCAGCTGAGGAGGTGCAGGAGATGGAAATGGAGCCTGCGATTGAGGAGATTCTGGCTAAGCATGCCAAGAAGATTGAAGACAAGCTTCGGCGGGAGATTACGCAGAAGCTTGAGGCCAGTCTATCTAAGAAGCTGCAGAAGAATCTTCACATCGGAGAGCAGAACTCTTCGCAGGCCGCATCCGCTGACAAGAAGCAGACGGCTCAACCTGGGAGGCAGGACGGTGCACCTGGGAAGCCTAAGCCGAAGAAGAAGCGGGGTGGTAAGACTCCAAAGAAGCAGAATTCCAGCGCCGACAAAGAGCAGCAGGCGAAAGGCCCTACCACATCGAAGGCCAAGGGACCAAAAAACGGCGGAGGCGGCCCCGGAGAAGGGCCGCACAAGAAGTGACCAGCCACGATTTAGCGCTCCGTTGGTTCGCGAAGCTAACGTTTCGGCAGGCGGCGTTACGAGTTCGCAACCGCGGAGTTCATAACCTCAGCGCCAAAGTCTTGTCCTTGGACGAGAAGAAAGCGCTGGGGCTTGGTCTGAAGTTTATCCCAACGCCCGCTGTTTCCCTTTCTACGGTCGAGTTAGATCAGCTTTGCCGACAGATTTCGCTACGTTTCTTCTTCAAGGATGCAGACCCGGCTAAGGACTATCGTTTTCGAGTGAGAAATCCGAGTTGGGCACCTGATCGGAGTGAGATTCCGGAGCAGGTTTTCAGAGATTCGTCCTCGGACCTATCTTTTCTGCTGAAAGCATCTAGGCCTCCTCGACACCGAAACATCTCGTTACGTGTTCGACAGGCCTTGCGTTCCATCGCCGCAGATCGTAGTGTGGTTATTAAACCGGCCGACAAGAACATCGGGATCACTGTGATGGATCGGGAACTTTATGTTCGTCTCTGTATGGACCATCTAGGCGACAGATCGACTTACACCCCGGTTCTCCACGATCCTACTGCCTTAGTCGTTCAGGGACTGCACGAACTGCGTCACGCATGGGGCCCTACTTATCCCGACAGCCTTTGGAAGTATTTTCTAGACGAACCACCTGGAGGTTGGAAACCCGCAGCCTTTTACATCCTTCCTAAGCTACATAAGAAGCAGCTCGCTGGGCGTCCGATCGCCGCTTCGCATTCATGGGTTACTTCGAATGTCAGTAGATGGTTAGATGCGGAACTTAGGCCGTGGGTGCTACGACAGCATACTTACCTCCGAGACTCTCTTTCGCTACTCTTGTCGCTGGAGGAAACTTCATTTCCTAAAGAGATTCTTCTAGCCACGTACGACGACTCGTCGCTCTACCCCAGTATTCCTCTTAGGCGCGGACTCGAAGCGGTGAGCAGCATTTTGCAACGAGGGAGTCACCACAGTCTTCAACCAGTCATGGCCCTACTGGAGTGGGTCATGATGAATTCTTACGTGGAGTTCGACGGCCACCTGTACCACCAGACGCAAGGGACCGCTATGGGAACTCCTGCAGCGGTCTGCTTTGCGGTACTTTTCATGAGCCGCCTGGATGAACTTTTGAGGGAGAGATGGTCCGGAACGCAACCTCTACGCCATGTCAGATACATCGACGATGGCCTGATTCTTTGGCCTGGATCGAGGAGTGAGTTGGAGAAGTATCTGCAGACCTTCAACGAGCTTGACCCGAATATCAAACTGACGTGGCAGATTTCGGACAGCTCAGCTGATTTTCTTGATTTGGTCTTATTCAAGGGACCGAGATTTGCTGGGCAGGGTATCTTGGATCTGAAGACATTCCAGAAACCGCTTAACCGATACCTTTATCTCCCTTTTTCGTCTTTTCATCCCCGACACTGCAAGACTGGTTTCATTGCAGCTGAACTGAAGCGTTATCTTCTCCGCTCGACTTCTGCAGATACCTTTCTCGCCTCCAAGCGCGCTTTCTACCAGCGGCTACGAAGTCGGGGTTACCCCTCTGATTTCCTTCTACCCATCTTCAGGAGCATTTTCTTTCGACAACGACCTCTCCTTCTGGAGCAGACTGCTGCCCGCCATGCACACAAATTTGAAACTCCCCCCGAACGCGGCCCCCTAGTCTTGAAGACACTGTTCACACCTTTGACCGGACGTCTCAGGCTGGGGGTGCTTTTGAGGCGCCTCAAAAGTCGTCTCATGTCTCGCGGTTTTTATGTGGGGAGAATTATAATTGCATGGAAGTGTGCACGTAACCTTCAGCGGTTACTCGTAAGGGCGCGGTTACCAAAGTCACTCGCAAATGCTGTCGAAGAAGTTCCCGAAGGCTGACTTGGCACCCTGAATTTGTTTCATTGCCTAGTTGGCGAACCCCTTTCCTAGTTGGATTCTGGGTAGTTGGGTTTCTTATACGTAGATCTCGAGGGTAGTCTAGCTATTTTAGCTGCTACCAGACTCTCTGTTTCTGAGTTCCGAATTGTGCTGTACCCATGAAGGCGTGATTGGGTTCGCCCATCCGCCGAAACTAGTTTACGCAAGGAGGCTTTTCGGAAGCTAAGGGTTTTTTCAGATCTGCGTTTTTCTCACCTTTTTTCACTGTTTGATTCCTTTGCTTAAGCGTCCTCTCTACTACTGCAGCCCTTCGAAACATGAGTCAGGGTGACAACAAGAGACCAGCAGACACAACAGACAAGCACACCATGCGGCTCTTTAGCATACCGGTTTCACAAGCTTGCGGTCCTTGCCTATCACCTGCACGACAGGAACGCAACAGACGAGCACACCACCTTCAGCCATCTCCACTCAAGACCATACCATCTTGACGTTGCAGGGTGTTATTGAGCAATCTTCAGCCATCTTAAAAAAAATACACCTTCAGCCATCTTCGCCCAAGTCCACGGTCCACACCATCTTCTCTCTACCCTGCGTGCCACCGTCTATTTCTCGATAGGTTCGCTCTCGTTGCACGATCTGATGTGTGCTATCACGTGCCCCAGAGCCACTCGGCCAGACACTCTCCCTTCCCCATCCCACTCCCCTTACCCCGCCGTCCAATCCCCATCACTCAATCCTACCACCTGCACATAGGTAGCTTTGAGCTGCTCGATCTGACAGTGCGGTGTTGGCTTGCCCCTTCCAACACCGCACTGTCACCCAGACAGGGGCAAGCCAGCGGCCACCCTGATGGGGTTTGTCTCGTTGTCCTAGAACAACACGAGTTGAAGGAAGTAAGGCCTCCACAGCCCACCTGTCTGCTTCTGACAGATCTGACAGTGCGGTGATGGCTTCCCCCTGCCAACACCGCACTGTCACCCAGACAGGGGCAAGCCAGCGAGGTGACATCTGAGTCAACTCAAAAGTCACCTCGTTACAATGGCACACGAGACATTTTGAGTCGACTCAAAAGTCAGTGCGGTGTTGGCTTGCCCCTGCCAACACAGCACTGTCACCTAGACAAGGGCAAGCCACTGGCCACGGTGTTGGCTTCGCCCTGTTCACCCCCTTCCCCCGGTGGCCGCTGTTCTCAAAGCACGATCGATTCGCTGTGCACGATGTGGGGTACTTTTGAGACGTCTCAAAAGTCGTCTACTTACACGCAGATTTTATATAGAGGGTTGTTTTGTTGCTTGGAAAACTGGTTGTAACCTGCAAAGGTTACTGGTTCGCGCGAGGCTCCCTGAGCACCAGCTGGCGGATTGTGCTACTTCAACGTTACGCCACGAGGAATGAAGACCCCGAAGACTTGGACTTTTCTAGGTCGTCAGGGATTGGCCAACCAGATTTCTGGCCACGGTTGCAACAACCTGGAGTTTGCCGAGACGTAGTGTTTGCCCAAATGCTTCATCTTCCTCATTCTCTTTCATTTCCACTCGCACTGATGAAGGTGTGATTGGGGCCTGTCCCGTCACCCGAAACTAGTTTGCCTCGTTTTATTCTTTTAGTGGAATTTTGAGTCAGATTTCTTGAAACTCATTGTTTTTAGCAGGAATTACAACAGATCGTACTGTTAATCCTCTGCTAAAGAATTCTTTTAGACTGCTGCTCGCCTAATCATATGGCTGAAAGCACGATCGACTCGCTGTGCACGATGTGGGGTACCTCGTGCATTGAGGTGATGTTTGAGGCGCCTCAAAGAAGACTTTTGAGGAGCCTCAAAGAAGACTTTTGAGGCGCCTCAAAGAAGACTTTTGAGGCGCCTCAAAGATGACTTTTGAGGCGCCTCAAAAGTTGTGCACGATGTGGGGTACCTCGTGCATTGAGGTGATTTTTTAGGCGATGTGGGGTACCTCGTACCCCAGCACAATCAGCCAGGACACAACCCCTCCTCCCACGCACCTGTACATATGTGGCTTTAAGCTGTTTGATCTTGTCAATCTTCACAGCAATCGTGCTGCAGCCCTCGCCCTGTTCGCCCTGCTCTTTCAGCACGATCGACTCGCGGTGCACGATGTGGGCTATCTCGTACCCCAGCGCCATCAGCCCCCACACTCTCCGTTTCCCGTCCCACTCCCTTCCATTCCATTACCCAACCCCCCCCTTCCTCCCTCCTCCCACCTGCACATAGGTAGCTTTCAGCTGCTCGATCTTGTCAATCTTGACTGAAAACGCCGCGTTTGCTTCCCCCTGCTCGCCCTGTGGGGACACCTCTTTGATCACGATGGACTCGCGGTGGACGATGTGGGCTATCTCGTACCCCAGCGCCATCAGCCCCCCCAGCAGCCGCACCGACACACTAAAGGTGATGCGCGGTGTGATTATAAAGGGGCCGTCCGTCACCCACTCCTGCCAGAGAGGGGTGGGGGAGAGGACAGCGCGATGGGGGGAGGGCGAAAGGGAAGGCTTGGTGCGCAGTGTGTGCTAGTTTGTATACCAGCGCCAACAAACCCATGGCGGCCGCACTGGCACGCCGATGAAGATGCACGGTGTGATTATAAAGGGGCCGTCCGTCACCCACTCCTGCCAGTGAGACGTGGAGCGAGGAGAGATGAAGTGGGAGAGCATTATGAGGGGATAGGAGGGGGAACGGTCGGGGGTTGAATATGGCAGCAGATGAACAGTCTTGCATCGTCAAGGAGGGAGGAGAGAGACGGAAGGAGCGAACAGGGAGGTGACTTTTGAGTTGACACAAAAGTCACCTTGGTCAGGGGTTGAAACTGGCAGCAGACGAGCACCCTAGCATCGTCAAGGAGGGAGGAGGAGCGGATGGGGAGGTGGGCTGAGTGGGGGATCTAGGCGGGTGGGGAAGCAGATATCGAGGTATGCGTATGCACACAGACGCTGACATTGGGTGACTACGATGCCAGGGGGTGAGCATGCAGGGCACCTCACCCACTGTGATATGGCTATAAAAAGAGTGACGGACAGGGTTAGGGGAGTGGCATCTGTAAGAGACTGTTTGGAAAATGAGGTTTCGGAAGGGAGGATGCGGGCACAAGAATGGGACCACCAAGCGATAACTGATACAAAAGTGTGATTGATTCTTCATGGTTGAAAACAACCTTCTTAATGAGAGTGGTGTAACCACAAAACACATAAACAAAATATAGTCAAGACGTGTCGAGAGTGGGATTTGAACCCACGCCCTTTCGGACTGGAACCTTAATCCAGCGCCTTAGACCAACTCGGCCATCTCGACACATGCACACTCAACACAATAACACAATAACGTGTTCCACACGCAACATGTACATCGTCCTACCTGCCGCTCAGCATGCCTCATTCCCAACACGCACCTCAAACATGAGCGAGTAGCGCCCATCGCGGTTGCGCATGCGCAGGTACGACTGGCACGTGTCCTTGTCCTCCCCGGGCGGTAGCAGGTAGATCTCATACGTCTCCACCTCCTCCCGCGTGTGCCCCCCTGCCAGCACCGCTCTCACCCGCTCCTCCCACCCCTCGCCCTCTGCTCGCGACTGCACCCTCCCGTTCAGAGGCCAGCGGGGAAGAAAAGGAGAGGAACGGAGGGAGTACGGGGGAGGAGAGAAAGAATGGATGGAATAAAACTTGTGAGAAGGGAATGGGTACACAGAGGACAAGCAGTGGAAAAGAGCAGGGGTGTGGGCTTGGAGCGGCAGCAGGAGGGCTCAGCTATGGTGCAGGCCAGTCCAGCGGCAGTCACACGGATTCCACATCACAGGCTTGCTTCTCCATCAAGTAGAATTTTGATAGATGTGAATGGTGGGAATGTCCCGTGTGTGGCACACACGAATCATTAAATGTACTAGTCAATAGCTGCAAGGCGGACCAACGCCCCGCAAGGCAGGGCAGGGCGGGGCGGGGCGGGGCAGGGCAGGGAAGGGCAGGCAGGGCGTGGGTTGGAGGGGTGACCTTGAGGAGGTAGGTGGCGTCCTGGAAGCCGGAGAAGGGGTTGAAGTTGACTGTTGAGTGGACTCAGGAGTCACCCTTTGAATCGGCAGGGCAAGGGAGGGGGGGTTGGCGTCACCTTGAGGAGGTAGGTGGCGTCCTGGAAGCCGGAGAAGGGGTTGAAGTTGTTCACCATGCGGATGTGCGCCGTCTTCAGCTCCGGCTCTATGAACGCCTTGTACATCGGGTACACCTGGGGGGGGAAGGTGTGCAGGGCATGCAGGGCGTGCAGGGCATGCAATCAGTCTGGCACATGCGAGTGAGAGGCAAGCAAGATGTGCTCCGTCTTCAGCTCCGGCTCTATGAACGCCTTGTACATCGGGTACACGTGGGGGGGGGGGGGAGCACGCAGGGCATGCATTCGGGGCATGCATGCAGGGTGGCATGGGCAAGGGGGAAAACAAGACTGGCTTGATGAACGCCTTGTACATCGGGTACACCTGGGGGGCGAGCAGGGCATTCAGGGTGGCACGGGCAAGAGGCAAAGAAGACTTCAGCCTCAACGCCACTGGCTCCATGCACGTCTTGTGCATCAAGTCCATCTTGGTACACCTGGGTAAACCTGGGTCAGGAAGTAAGCAGGCAAAGAAGGAGCAAGTGGTTCACTGTTTGGCTCCTCAGGAAGTAAGCAGGCAAATTTCCTACATCACACGTACATAAGACGAAGCGACTGAACCGGTACGTGCCTCTCAACGTCTCTGGGGTCTGTTGCCTGATGCTTGCAGGCACCTGCTTCCACTCTGCGCCACTAACTCACGCGCTTGGAGATCTGGTGAATGATGCTCAGGCGCCTGGCCCACCCCATCCCCACTCTCCCTCCCCAACACACTAACTCTCTCGCCTGTCCCACTAGGCGCCTCCGACTTACCATTTCAAAGATGGATGATGCTCTCAGGCGCCTGGCCTATCCCTTCCCCACTCTCCTCTTCCTCACCCACAAACCCTCTCGACTGTCCAACTCACCGTCTCTGAGATCTGCTGAATGATGCTCTTGGGTGCCTGTCCCGAGCGGTCAATATCGCGCAGAACGCGTTTGACGAGGTCAAAGTGCACCCCGCCCACGATCCCATCCGCAGGTCCAGCTGCGTTGCCACTTCACTCTGCCCCTCTCCCCACTGACACACCATCTCAAATTCGCTGTCTGATGCTCTCAGGCTCCTGGCTCACCCGTTCCTCACCCTCCTCCTCCCCTCCTCTTCCTCCCCGTTCCCTCCACCCCGTTCCCTCCACCCCCAACCCTGACTCACCGTCTCTGAGATCTGCTGAATGATGCTCTTGGGTGCCTGCCCCGAGCGGTCAATATCGCGCAGCACGCGTTTGACGAGGTCAAAGTGCACCCCGCCCACGATCCCATCCGCAGGTCCAGCTGCGTTGCCACTTCACTCTGCCCCTCTCCCCACTGACACACCATCTCAAATTCGCTGTCTGATGCTCTCAGGCTCCTGGCTCACCCGTTCCTCACCCTCCTCCTCCCCTCCTCCTCCTCCCCGTTCCTTCCACCCCGTTCCCTCCACCCCCAACCCTGACTCACTGTCTCTGAGATCTGCTGAATGATGCTCTTGGGTGCCTGCCCCTAGCGGTCAATATCGCGCAGCACGCGTTTGACGAGGTCCAAGTGCACCCCGCCCGTGATCCCACCCGCAGGTCCAGCAGCAGTGCCCCTCCGCCCCGCCGATCCACATTCTTGAAGTTTTGCTGAATAATCCTCTCAGGCGCGTGGCCACAATGCCCCGCTCTCCCCCTCCCCCCGCTACCCTTTGCACCACTGACCCACCGTCTCGGAAATTTGTTGAATGATGCTTTCTGGAGCCTGCCCGGATCGGTCAATGTCACGCAGCACGCGTTTGACGAGGTCGAAGTGCACGCCGCCCGTGATGGCCACCCGCAGGTCCAGCAGCGGCCTCACCCGCTCGTTGAGCGCGTGAATGCCCTCCAGGATGATCACACGTGACTTGGGCACCGCTTGCTCCCTGCAAGATGTGAAGGGCACACACGAATATCACATGACAAGGGCGTGATGAAGGAATGGATGGCCACCCGCAGGTCCAGCAGCGGCCGCACCCGCTCGTTCAGCGCGTGAATGCCCTCCAGAATGATCACACGCGACTTGGGCACCGCTTGCTCCCTGCGGGACGTGAAGGGAAAACGTGAGGGAGATGAAAAGGTCGTGAAGAAGGTGTAGATTGGCACATGCTGCGTGTGGCTCGTAGGTCCCACAGCGGCCGCACGCGCTCGTTTAGCCGCCTTGAAATGGTATTCTTTCGATCGAAACAACCAGATTTGCACAAGTATCAATCCTGACAACACGTCCATGAAAAATGGCACGTGTTTGGACTGGACCCCCTGCAACATAAACGAGGCGCAGGGCGCGCGCACCTGAAGCCGACGCGCTGACTGGATTTGAAGTCGTAGATGGGCACCTGCACCGCCTCGCCTCGCCGCAGCCCCTCGATGTTCTCCAGCAGCAGCTCGTAGTCCGTGATGCGCGGATCTGCAGTGTGGTTCCATGCGGTTAGATGGATTTTGACGCGTTTCAGCGCATTACGTTGCAATTTTATTCGTTCACACATGCTCCAAATATGGCAGCGAGTCTCGGAAAGAACTGCAGGAAAGCACTCGACATCTGTTCAACGGACGTTCTCGTTTTCACGTCACCCCACACAGAATGGATAAGCCTGAGGAGCATCGGAGAGGGCAACGGACCGTCGAATATGCCATGATGACGCGCGGCGAAGCGACGTTGCAATCGTCCATGGAGACGACAACGCCATTTTGAATCGTCTCAAAAGTCACGGGAGGGGGGTGAGTGACTGACCGTCGAAGTTGCCGTCGATGACGCGCGAAGCGACGTTGTAGTGGTCCATGGAGAGCACGGCGATGTTTGAAACGTCTAAAAGCTACCGGCGAGGGTTAACTGACCGTCGAAGTTGCCGTCAATGACGCGCGAGGCGACGTTGTAGTGGTCCATGGAGAGCACGGCGATGGAGGGCATGAAGCCCGCCACCTTGTGCGTGAACGCCGTCTTGCCCGCGCCCGACGGCCCCGCCAGCCCCACCAGTATCACCCCCGCGTTGTTCTGCGCTCCGCGCCCGATCACGCGCGACGGAAACAGCGTCGGACGGCGGAAAAGTGGTGACGAGTTGAATCAAATTTGAAGCCGAATGCAGAATTATAACGGACAGCGAACCAGAATGTGAACGGTACATAGGCAATGAAGCTGAATGTCCCACTGAAGAGGACTGACACATAGGCATTGAAGCTGAATGTTCTTGTAGCCATTCGACAGCCACTAAGCGGCAGAAGCCATCGCAAAGGGATGCGAGAGAGCTATCCAAGCGGATGCCACATGCTCAACCAAGCCAAAACTTGGCATGGAAAAAAAAACGAGAAAATACTTTATATAGATAGTCGCAGTTAAACGAGAGAAGCAGCAGCCAGACCCACCTGTGTGAGCAGCTGGACGGCGCGGATGAAGAGAAAGAAGCCTTTCTCGAACGACAGCTGCTCCTCCACCGGAGCTATCTCCTTCCGCGCCTTGCCATCCGGCATCACTCGCCGCACCAGCCGCAGCTGGTTCTTCAGCAAGCCGGGCCGCCGCGAGCTCGGCTTTTCCCCGTACTCCGTGAATGAACCCCCCTTGGACGGCATTGTTGGAACGTTTCTAATAGAAACTTTACGCGCGTTATAAAACGTTAATTAGTGACACTGGTGAGGAACAATTAGATGGGAGATTTAATGTGAAGAGCTAATTTGTAGCAGTTAGAATCATGGAATGAGCGACCGCTTTTGACGAAAATTAGGAATGAATATAATGATGCTCTCGCTTTAGGGAACGGATTGCATCAGCCGACAGAACACAGAGGCCCTTTATAAAATGCTCACTCGCTCCATGCGCTAAATGCAAGCCCAACAAAAGAAGGGACAAAATGCCTGAGGAACCCTCTAGCAGTTTAGTGGGCTGCACACATAAAAAGGCTTTGGCTACTCCTTCAGCCAAGAGAGCACTATATTCCGACATGCCTCCATGCCAGCCACAGGGGTGCAGAAGAAGGCTGTGAAAGCTGCTTCTGATGGTGCTGCCTTTCCTGCTACTGGATGGTTTTTGTGCGAGCAACTTCCGAGGGTCCTTTGTCTGTGTGGATTGAGCGACTCCCTGACTGACTTTTCATTGGCTCCGCCGACAAAGCAAGGCAGTGAAGCAGGAGGAGATCCCGAGGTTCGATTGGGTAGTCTGTATGACCTGCTGAAATGGGCAGGTGTGAAAAGCGTCAACAGGTACATTCACGTCGCGTGGCAAGATATTTGATGTGGTCCAAGGTTATGAGTCATGACCATTGCTGACTTGGAAGTTTCGTTGTAGAGAAACTCGAAACAGTTTAGAAACACCATTGAAGGTTTTCGAACAAGGCCATGTCCATTAATTCCAGCAAATAGGGAAAACATTTGGCCAAGCCGAAGTGGCAGAGATGTGGTATTCTCTTTTTGGGGTTCGCAAAAACCCATGTTGATCCCAAACAAAAATGTCTGGTATCATGTGGCACGCACAGACCATCCAGCATCTGCGTCGTCCCATCCCATGATTCCCAGCCTTCCATTCATCCATCCATACATGGCTCATCGGATTTTGCAGGCAGTCCACCCATACCTGCCAGCCAAACCCCCATGACTCTCCAGCATCTTCCATCCACCAGTACCCACCAACCAACCTTTCCCCCAGCCTTCCTCCACCACTCCATCCCTCGCACCCTACTCCAGAAATGTTTCCCAGGTCCCATAACACAGCAAATCCGACCATTTTCATCCAGGATCCAAGTTCCCTCTTCCTTGGTAATCCGCAGCCGACAGGAATCTAATCGCCCTGGTCGATTGTAGTGACTTGTCTCTCCTTGTCCCGTAGATTATTTTGCGTCGCCTTTTAGACCGTGAACATGTCTGCGGAGGAGGAGAAGATCGAAAATCCCGCTCACCAGGAGGAGGATGATGATGCTCCCAAGGCCGATGACGAGGACACGGGAGCTCACATCGCTCCCATTGTGAAATTGGAGGAGGTTACCGTGTCGACCGGTGAAGAGAATGAGAACGTCCTCTTTGAGATGTAAGCTGTTCACAACCCTAGAGGTCCGTACGCCACGTAACGTTACATGCTCATCTTGAGCACCGGAATTGAACACTGAGTTGTAGCACGACAGTACCGTTAGTTAGATGTCTACGATACTTATCTGATCGAGCTCGTAGCTACGTATATTTTACTGAACCCGTGACAACCCTGATTGCACACCCCCAATTTACATACCTGAGATCCGTTTCCGTACGCCGTTTACATGCCCAAGATCCGTTCTATCTTTCAAGCTCCCGCAGGCTCCGAGAGGGGTATCATGAACCGTCTTTTCTATTTGACGTGACATGTCTATGTTTTCCAGCAAATCCAAGCTTTACCGGTTTGATAAGGACGGGAACCAATGGAAAGAGCGGGGTGTCGGCCAAGTTAAGCTTCTGGAGCACAAGGATACCAAGAAGATTCGGCTGCTGATGCGACAGCAGAAAACGCTTAAGATTTGCGCCAACCACACAGGTAGGGCAACCCGATTGAATGCGCACATTCACCGTCACAATCATGTGCCCTTGTTTCCACGAATTCATTGACCAGCGCTCAATCCACAAAAATACCGCTTCTATGCTGGAAAGTGTTCAGTGTCTTTGATAGCTTATGGCTATTCTATTCCCAGGAATAGCTTCGCACTCCTTATTTTCTGTGTGCTGCTTAAGAGAAAACTGGCTTCTCTAAAGCCATTCTCATCTCAAATTCCCGAATGTATCGTGCTTTCATTTGCCTGCAGTGCTACCGTCGATGTCGCTTCAGGAGCATGCAGGGAGCGACAAGTCCTGGGTGTGGCATGCACAGGACTTCGCTGACGGAGAGCTGAAGAAGGAGCTTTTCACTATGCGGTTCGGCTCGCCAGAAAGTGAGTGCTACCTCTTTATTACCTGGATTCGCGCTTTAAATGTTTTGCTGTGGCCTGCTTGTGACAAACCTGTTGCATTCCTCGGTGTTAACGCATCTTGCAAGCCTTACCTCAAACGTTCGCCCTGATTAGACCTCATCTTTCACCCCTCACCTCCGGTTACGAACACTCTCATTTCCTAACTTTTGTTTTACTCTACCCTCCGGTTCTGGCCAGGTGCTCAAAAGTTCAAGAGTGCATTTGAGGAGGCACAGGAGAAGATGGCAGCGATTCTGGGCACCACAGATGCAGCCAAGGAGGTGGCAAAGGAGGCAGAGAAAACAGCAGAGGAGCTTGAGAAGCTGGCTGTCAAGAAGGATGAGGAGAAGCCAGCTGAGTCCTAAGTGATATACTCCTCTGTAGAACTGTCTCCTAGGATCAGCTCAATTGAAGCAAGTAGTATTGTAGTTTCGTCTTTCTCCTGCCTTGTAGGTTGCGTAAAGGTTATACGAGTCACACCACTACAAAGTTGATAGGGCCGTTTTCTTGGAATTTTGGCACAGATGTTTTGGTTCATCTGCTTGAAAAATATTTTAGTGACCACTAGAGCCGCCACGAAACTGGACCTTGGGGGTATCGATCTTCTAGACGAACTCGTATCATCGCAGACACTTTGTCCAGCAAGCAAAGGCCCGGTACCATGTCGGCCACAACAATCACGGCGTGGGATCCTGGCTTGCCACGCGGCACCTTGAGACAACGACACGCAGCGCAAGCACGACCAATGCGAACGCAACTGAGAATCTGGAGGAATGCAAGCCAAAGGGAACCACCAGACTGGAATTCACGACACGAGACCAGGAAAGGTGGTGCATACCCATTCGTCCATTTGCTAAACAACGCTGGTCTATGTCATGTACACAACCAACAGCGCGGCTTGATCTACCTTGCTCGTCCTGTCACCCATGAGCCGTGGCCCCCTAGCTCCACACATGAGAACACTCCATATTCCTCTCTCTCGTGAGCGAACGACGCGCTCTCGGCTCTATTCCATCTCTCCATTCCTTTTCCACGCTCTCCTCATTAACTGCCTCTTCTGGTTCCTACTCACCGCTCGTTCCACGCCTGTCGAGGGAACGTCGCTCCAAGGCAGCGCAGACTGCGGGCTCGCCGACAGCCGAAACACGGCTGCCGCGGCTGGTCAGGATCCTGACAGCCAATCCGGTCTCGAGAATCTAGGGAATCCCAACAGCCACTCCAACACCGACAATTCCGGAACCTGCGCGGCGGGTCCCGCCATGTCCAATCCCGTCGCTGGCACGCAAAACGCAGGTTCAACGGCGATCGCGTCCGCGTTAAAGGACGTCCCGGTTGAGCGTATAGTGGGGCCAGGAAATGACGAGGTGGTGAAAATAGGGTCCTTCTGGGAGTCGCAGGTGAGAAATGGCTTCTGGGAGTCGCAGGTGAGAAATGGCTTCTGGGAGTCGCAGGTGAGAAATGGCTGTCCCGCCGCCGGTTGAGTGCCTGTTTGTCTGATTCGATGCAACAAAATCTGATGTCTTTTTCGTCTGAACACTAGACTCTCCTCTCCTGCGCACTCCTTAAATACCGTTCTTTAAGACAATTCAGTTGTCTGTTCAAGTCCTTCTCTTCATTCCCGTCTCTTCTCGCTCATCCTATTTCTTCCTGCCTTGCTCTCATCCCTTTTCAAAAATCCATGCCTTCCCACCCCGAATTCCCCGCTTCCCCTCCCCTTCTTTTACAATCTCCTCCCCTTCCTCCCCGCTCCCCCATTCCCTCCCCTTTCCCCCTCCCTCCCCCCCCCCCCCAGCCCGTGGTGATTCATTTTCTCCGCCGCTTTGGCTGCCGCATCTGCAGGGGGGGCGCCATGGAGATGTCGCGCGCCATCCCCCACCTACACAATGCGGGCGTGCGAGTCGTCGCCATCGGTGGGTGGGATGGGTGGTGGGTGCCTCGGGTGGGTGGTCAGCGGGTGGGTGGGGAGGTGGGAGGGTGCTATTAGGGGGGAGCCATGGACATGTCGCGCGCCACCCCCCACCTGCACAACGCAGGCGTGCGAGTCGTTGCCATCGGTGGGTGCCATGGATGGGTGGGATGGGAGGGTAACATGCGGTGGGAGGGTGGGAGGAGAGCTGCTTCCTTTGAGAAGGTCGGATAGCTGCCTTCATGGTTGGCATGTCTCGGCCCACCCCATTTGCTCCATTCTGCCGCCAGCCACGCTCGTTTGAGCCTCTCTCGCCCATGGTTCATGCTCCTTCGCTCTCTATCACTCTCCCTGTCACCCTCCCGACCTCCACTCGCCCTTCAGTCTTCCCCGCCATTCACTCTGTCGTATCCTTGTGGCTGGAAAGGCAGGGTGCTGACTGCCTTGCTCTCCTCCCCTCCCTGCTGCTCAAACCCCTCTCTGCTACTCACCCTTTTCCCTGCTGCCCATCCCTGGGACCATCTGGACCATCTGGACCATCTGGGAGTGGAAGAGTTTGTGGATGGGGGCTACTGGAAGGGTTTCTCACTCACACCCTCCCTGCCTCATTGCCCTGCCGCTCATTGCCCTCCCTGCTGCTCACTGCTGCTCCCTACTGCTCATTGCCCTCCCTGCTGCCCACCGGCCTGGACCATCTTGGAGTGGACGTGTTTGTGAATGGGGGCTACTGGAAGGGCGCTGCCTTTCTCACGCACACCTCGCTGCCTCCCCACTGCTGCTCTCTCCCCCACCGCACCCTCATTTCCGCAAGTATGGACCATCTAGGGGTGGACGAGTTTGTGGGAGGAGGCTACTGGAAGGGCGGGCTGTACATCGACGATGGCAAGCGGACCTCCCTGCCTCCCTGCCTCCCTGCACTGCTGCTCATCGCTCTCCCCTTCCCTCACTGCACCGCTATCCCCACAGGCCTGGAACATCTGGGACTGGACGAGTTTGTGGATGGGGGATACTGGAAGGGCGAGCTGTACATCGACGATGGCAAGCGGGCCTACAGCGCACTGCAGCTCAAGTCCATCTCCCTCTGGCAGGTGCGTGTGCTGTGCGCCTGCTGCTAGGGGCACTCTCTTGGGCTACTGGAAGGGCGGGCTGTACATCGACGATGGCAAGCGGGCCTACAGCGCACTGCAGCTCAAGTCCATCTCCCTCTGGCAGGTGCGTGTGCTGTGCGCCTGCTGCTAGGGGCACTCTCTTGGGCTACTGGAAGGGCGGGCTGTACATCGATGATGGCAAGCGGGCCTACAGCGCACTGCAGCTCAAGTCCATCTCCCTCTGGCAGGTGCGTGTGCTGTGCGCCTGCTGCTAGGGGCACTCTCTTGGGCTACTGGAAGGGCGAGCTGTACATCGATGATGGCAAGCGGGCCTACAGCGCACTGCAGCTCAAGTCCATCTCCCTCTGGCAGGTGCGTGTGCTGTGCGCCTGCTGCCCATCTCCCTCTGGCAGGTGCGTGTGCTGTGCGCCTGCTGCCCATCTCCCACTGGCAGGTGCGTGCACAGTGTGCCTGCTGCTTGGTGCGCGCTCTTGGGTTCCTCTGCTTGTCCTGCTTGCCTGCTTGCTTGGGTCAGGCCGTGCTAAGTAGCACACGCATGGGCCAGCACGACTGAACTACCTCGCATGGAAGCTTGACACATCCATGTTGCATAACAGCCTGCCAGTTCAGTGTAGTGAACATCTCACTCCCCGCCATCTCCCTCAAGCCCCCAATTCCTCCCCCCCTCACACTGCCCAACCCAAGCTCCTTCCATGTTCGGGAAGGTGTGTGTGGCATGACGTGTCACCACCCTGCCTGGATTGCCATCACTCGCAGCTTCATTCCCCTCTCACTCGCTTGGCCCACCATGCCTGGACTATCATCACTCGCAGCTTTATCTCATCCCCCTCTCGCTCGCTTGCCCCCACTTCCTCCCTACCACTCCATGGACTTTGGGGTTCACCAGGTGGCATATCAGCTGCTGTTTGACAAGACTGTGAAGAAGTCTCTTGGAGACACGGCCAATGTGAAGGGTGATCTGGCTGGAGATGGCCTGTGAGTACACTCTACACTTGTTTTTAGTAACAATTCAGGATATGTTATGATATGCATGCTTCTCTCAAGATTTGTTTTCTTGAGCCGTTTTGTGAGATTGCATTTTGGTGTGTGTTTTTGTGATTGTGTCTGTGCATTGGCTGCAGTCAATTGGGAGCCACATTCGTGTTCGATAGAGGTGGCAAGCTGCTTCACGAATTTAGACAAGTGACAGTGGCAGACCATCCGTCTCCAGAAGAGCTTTTGAAGCCTTTTGGAATTGATTCAAGCGTTCTTAGCGGAGTGACGGAGGCAAGAGGAGTTGAGGAAGGGGACAAGAAGTCTGCCTGTGAAGGAGAGGAGTGCTTGTAATAAGCAGTTTTGTAATATATATCGGTAGTGGTTTTAAACATGTGCTCGAATCTATATTGGTGTACCCTCGATCGCTCTAATTGTTCTTCCAACCAGGGTCAGAGTCGAGTACAAATTTCAACGGCCGAGCCGTGAGTCTGTGACCCCCACCACCCAAGGGTGACGGACAGTCAGTCACGTGACTGGTGGCTGGCCGAAGCGCTTGATCCAAACTCCCTGGGTTGCCACGCGGCAGTCAGAGCGTGGGAACCACGTATCGTTAATGACACATCAGCACTGTCTATCGACCTCTGCCAGAAAATGGCTTTGGGAATGCCGGCCACGTGAGTGCACCTCACATGGTTGCACAGCATTGCATCCAACATGAGGGGGAGGACTGCCAAAAAAATGCTTACGAGGAAGCCACGATTTTGTTCATGGCTGGTCAGAAGGTGATTAGAGGAGACTACAGCGTAATTTGTGTACTTGAAAGCCCGCTTCTCTGCAGGGATTCGCGTTTCGTATAACTGGGTTGTTCAAAACCGCGTTCGCTGCTAGCTTCGACATTGCATTTCCACAATCAAGGCCTCCATTCGACCCGTTCAACACTAACCATGGCGTTCGCGACTCGTGCAACCAGCTGCCAGCTCCGTCTGCCAGCGAATCTTCCTCTATATTCCGGGCCCAAGGTAGGATTCCTGTGAGAATTTATATCCAATATCGCGTACAGAGCTCTAGCGAAGCTAATTAGGTATATCGCGTCACCTTTCGCCTCTTTTTGCGTCAAGTTGCTGCTGCATTCCAGGCAGGCAATGCCTGACTGCAATCCCTGCTTTGTTGTACGAGAAAGTGCCACTGTTCCATTATTACCCTTTTTATCTCGACAAGAATTTGCCTCTCCTTGATAAATAAATCAGAAGGCCTCTCAGCAGCACACTCCTCTCCTCGTCAAGGCCCCTAAAAACAAGAACTGACATCTCCATTCTCTGCTTTCCCGCAACAAAAGCTGACATTTCCGACTCTCCTCAAGTACGTACACCATTTAAGCATCCTCAATTTTCAGTTACCCCCCATTCCCCCGCATATCCCCAGGCCCCCGCCTCCCTCCGCCTCCCTGTTGTGCGCGCGGCAGCGGGCGATGCGGAGAGCAGCGGCGCGGAGAAGCCGCGCGCGGGGGAGCCGCAGGGGGAGCGCGCGAAGGGCATCTTCGAGTTCGTGACGGACAACCCGTCGAGCCGCTCCGCCATCCAGCTCAAGAACGCGCCCGCCATGGACGGCAACGTCGGCCAGATGATCTCGGTGCGTGCGTGCGACGCTGTGCGACGGTGTGCGACACTGAGACGGATTACGTTGATACGAGCGACATCGTGCGACAGATTGTACTGGTCCGCGATGATGAATAGTGTCGCCTGATTGAGCGACGTTGGCGGCGGGTGAGGAGAGTCGATACGAGGGGTGAGAGCGGGTGAATGGCGCTCGAGTCGGCTCGGAGGTCAGGCTAAGGAACGTGCGTAAGGGACTTGACGTGCGCAGCTAGCAGAAACCGAATAGCTTGCGACTCGGACTTAGTCTCCTCCACCTCTCCGACCCCGTTCCCCTGCCGCCCCTCTGCCGCCCCTCTGCCGCCCCTCTGCCGCCCATCCAGGGCGCTGGAGGCGAGACGGAGGAGGGGCGGGCGGGAGGTTCGGAGGAATACGTTGAGGCGTTTCAGTGGAAGGCTGGGGTGGGCACATTTGGGTGGGGGGAAGGGTGGGGTGGGCGCATTTGGGTGGGGGGAAACGTGGGGTGGGCGCATTTGGGTGGGGGGAAGGGTGGGGTGGGCGCATTTGGGTGGGGTGAAACGTGGGGTGGGCGCATTTGGGTGGGAGGAAACGTGGGGTGGGCGCATTGGGGGGAAGGGATCTCATACGTGGGGAGAAGGGTTCAGAGGAGAAGTAGGAGGCGACGGGGTTTCTCAGAGAACACTAGAGTGACTTGTCGTGGTGGCTCACAGGAGACAGCACTCCAGTGAAAGGGCACGGTGGGGTAGAGGGGAACGGGCGCGAGACAGGGCGCGAAAGAAACGGGAAGGGCTCGGGGATGGCTAATCGGGAAGGGTTCCATCTGATCCATAACGGGGATGGAGCTCAGATGGATGTTCCGCTTTGTGCGGGCGTGAAGGCATGAGGCATGAATATGTGGCTCCACTTTCTCCATGCATCCCCTCGCCTCGCCTCTTCTCGTTCCTTGACACGCTCTGTGCACATTCACCATATCACCAGCCCTTGGCATCTCTACCCCATCCCATTCCTTGCCTTCTGTCATCTCTCTCCGCCATGCCCGCGCCCCTCACTCGGCCCATGCCCTCACCCGTCCCCATCCCATGCCCTTCGCCCTTCCCCATGCGGCTGTGCGAGCAGGCGATAGAGGACAAGGGCAAGGACATGGGGTCGTACTTGCTCTCGGGCGAGTTCCAATACTTCGTCCGTCAAATAGGTGTGTGCGCCCTTTGGCTTACCTTGTTAGGCAAATAGGTGCGCCCTTCGCTTGTTCGCCCACCCTCATTCTCCTCTCCCTTGTATGGAATGTAACCATTCTGAGGAGCTCCAATGTAACCAAATACATCGGAATGTAACCATATAACTGTACGTGGAGGGAGCACCAGCGTAACCAATGAGTTGTAACTGAACAGCTGACCCCCTTCTCCCCTCCTCCCTGCATGTGTATGCATCGATCCTCTGGTGATGTACTTGCAAGAACCACTTGGGAAACAAAAAAAAAAAGGTGATTCAGTTGTAGCTGTTGGTGTACGTGAGTCGAGTTTTGAGTCGACTCAAAACTCGACTCACTACATTAGGAGAAGAGTGAAATACTTGAAGGATAATTTTCAAAGGTGATTCAGTTGTAGCTGTTGGTGTACGTGAAATACTCGCACTGTTCCAGTGCAGTGTCAAAATCCTCGACCGCCTTCACTTCACCCTTCTCCCCTCCACCCCATTTCCCTCTGTTCATATCAGGTGAGGCGAAAGACCCTCTGGTGGTGTACCTGCACGGCGCACCAGCCCAGTGTGTGTAGAGTGCAATGGAATCCTCCACCCCTTTTCCCCACTCCCTTTCACACTCATCACCTCCTCTCACATCAGGCAATGCGAAAGACCCTCTGGTGGTGTACCTGCACGGCGCTCCGGCACAGTCGTGGGGCTTCCGAGAAGTGATGCAGCAGGTGAGAGGTCGTGTATGGATAGATGCGTGAAAGCATGCGCTTGTTTGCTCACTCAAAGACACATCAGGCAACGCGAGCGATCCTCTGGCGGTGTACCTGCACGGCGCACCAGCACAGTCGTGGGGCTTCCGAGAAGTGATGCAGCAGGTGAGTGGCGGTGCTGCATGCAAGCATGCAAGCATGCATGCGCATGTGTACTCATTCAGCACATGGGAAGACGGGTACACACACAGACGCATGCACGCATGCACATGCGCACGCACACACACACACACACACACACACACACACGCGCGCACGCACACACACACGCACACGCACACACACGCACACACACACACACAGGGTGCATCTTGTCCCATTCGCCAATGCTGGCAACTAGAACCTTAAAATGGCGAAGCACAAACATCAGCAAACCCTTTTTCCTCCACTCCCTCCTACCTCCACCCGTCCCCTGCCTCATCCGGCATGGTACCATGGGCAATTGATGGAGAAGGGCTACGTGCAAGAACTACCCCTTGGCCCTTAACCCATTCCCTTGGTCGTTGCCGTGGGGCTATATATATGCATATAAACGCCAAAAAGAACTCAAATTTGCAACACGGCCAATGGGCAGAGTAGGGCTACATGCAAGAACTAACCATTGGCCTTTCCTGCACTCCCTTGGTCGTTGTTATGGCTGGGCGGGGCAGATGGCGGAGAAGGGCTACAGAGGCATTGCGCCCGACTGGCTGGGGCTGCTTTTGAGTCGACTAAAATCAACCAACCATTGGCCTTTCCCCCACTCCCTTCCCGTCCGTGATGGCACCCTGGAGCAGATGGCGGAGAAGGGCTACAGAGGCATTGCGCCCGACTGGGCTGCAGAAGGGCTACCAGCCACAACCAACCATTGGCCTTTTCCCCACTCCCTTCCCGTCCGTTATGCCTGCACGGAGCAGATGGCGGAGAAGGGCTACAGAGGCATTGCGCCCGACTGGCTGGGGTTCGGGTTCTCAGAGAAGCCCCAACCCGGATACTACTTCGCTTACACTGGTGAGAGCGGAGGGGGGTAGAGAGGGCGTGGTGGGAGTGGGGGATGAAGGCGGTGTGGGTGGGGTGCTGGTGAGCCTCCTGTGGGCTTCGGCTTCTCAGAGAAGCCTCAGCCAGGGTACTACTTTGCTTACACCGGTGAGAGGGGAGTGGGGGGGGTGTGATTGTGGTTCGGGTGGTGGGGGTGATGAGGGCATGAGGGGGATTGGGTGACTGGCTGGGGTTCGGGTTCTCTGAGAAGCCCCAGCCAGGGTGCTACTTCGCTTACACTGCTGAGAGCGGAGTGAGGGGGGTAGGGAGGGCGTGGTGGGAGTGGGGGATGAAGGCAGTGTGGGTGGGGTGCTGGTGAGCCTCCTGTGGGCTTCGGGTTCTCTGAGAAGCCCCAGCGAGCGAGGGTACTACTTTGCTTACAGAGCACGCGTGCCACCAAGAGCTGGACCACCTGATGGCGACTCTCAATGTTACTCCGCCTTTCATGCATCTGTGCATTAATCCCGGTCCTCTCCGCCTCCCCCACCCTTCCATCCATGCAGAGGACGTGTACCACCAAGAGCTGGACTGCCTGTTGCCGCCATGCATGTGACTCAACCCCTGCATTGAACCTCGCCCCTTGCGCCTCCTTCTCTCTCTCCTCTCCCCCCCCATCCATGCAGAGGACGTATACCACCAAGATCTGGACCGCCTCTTGCCGCCTTGCATGTGACCAGCATTGACCGCCATCCCCCTCTGCCTCTCTCTCCTCCCTGCCCATCAATGCAGAGGACGCGTACCACCAAGAGCTGGACCGCCTGTTGTCTTTTGACTCCACTTCACCAGTCGTTTGAACAGTCACCAGTTGAATCAAAAGTGCTCGGTGCCTCTCTCCTCCCTCCCATCCATGCAGAGGACGTATACCACCAAGAGCTCGACCGCCTCTTGGAGACTCTCAACGTCACTCAGCCTTTCTACCTTGTCGTTCATGTGAGTGAATGATTTCCATAACAAGCCGTCTCTCAGCTCAAGCCTTGTGCACCCTGTGCTGCATGCGAGTGCCTTCGTCGCCGTATAACGAGTTACAATAAACCTCATTACAGTGAGCGCAAATGAATTCGCCTTCTTGCGAGCCGTATTCAACCACATTGTATTGCGAAGAGTAGGTTTTAACCCAATAACAAAATCTCTCCCAATCGTCTCCCTATTCGCTCTCCCCATCCCTGCCGTGGTGCATGCAGGGCTACCTGGTGGGCAGCTACGGGCTCACATGGGCGCTCAACAACGCCAGTCGCCTCAAGGGCCTCGCCATCCTCAACACACCGCTCTCCGCCTCCTCGCCCCTGCCCCAGATCTTCCAGCAACTCAGGTGCTCCCAACAGACAGACCAGGTGGGTTCAGGTGCTCACAAACAGACAGCTCAGGTTAGTTCAGGGGCTCTCAACAGGCCAAGTAAGCTCAGGTGTTTTTCACAAGAGTTAGTAAGGTTGCGTTGCAGCCGTTTTTTCACACGCCACAGAACAACGCTCCACCTGGTGCAGATCCCTCCCGCACCTTGAGTTGAGTATGCCCCATCCTACCCGCACCCTGAATGTCTCACCTCTCTTCCCCCCTCTCCCTCTCCTGTCTCCCCCAGACGAGTTCCAGTGCCAGAACGCCGTGCTGGCAGAGTGCTTCATTGAGTTTTGAGTTGACTAGCAAGTCGCATCTCCTCTCCCTCCCCCTCTCACCTCGTCTCCCAGACTGCCCTTCGTGGCGGGTTCCAGTGCCACAACGCCGCGCTGGGTGTTTCTGAGACGTCTAAAAAACACCCTCGTCTCAAGTTCCAGTGCCGGAACGCCGTGCAGCCGTGCTGATTTGCCAACCTCCTCACAAGTTGCCATCCGTCCCTCCCCCGTTCTCTCTCTCCGCCTTTACCCCCCAGACTGCCCTTCGTGGGCGAGTTCCAGTGTCAGAACGCCGTGCTGGCAGGGTGCTTCATTGGCAGTGGCGAGTGGACTCAAAGGCACCTCTCACTCTACCTCTCCCATTTCTCTCCCTCTTATCCCCCCAGACTGCCCTTCGTGGGCGAGTTCCAGTGTCAGAACGCCGTGCTGGCAGAGCGCTTCATTGAGAAGGGCAGCCCGTGAGTGCTCTGAGTGCTGCGTGGGAGGGCGCAGGGTGGGAGGGCGAGTGCTGAGGGCAGCCCGTGAGTGCTGAGGGCGCATGGTGGGAGGGTGGGTGGAGGGTGGGAGCGTGCCTAGGGTGGGTTGTGAGTGGGGAGAGTATCAGAGTATCAGAGTGGCAGAGTGGCAGGGAAGGCTGTGGATGAATGCTGCAACCATCCGTCCATCCATCCATCCATCCATCCATCCATCCATCCATCCATCCATCCATCCATCCATCCATCCATCCATCCATCCATCCATCCATCCATCCATCCATCCATCCATCCATCCATCCATCCATCCATCCACCCACCCACCCTCTCCTCTTCAGCTAATCCATGCAACGCTGGTTTGTTGCCTCGTTTGAATGCTACTTCTTCCTAAACACGTTCTCATCATTGTGCCCCTCTGCGTGTGATGAGTCAAGTTTTGAGTCGACTCAAAACTGGACTCGACTCAAAACTCGACTCAAAACTCGACTCAAAACTCGACTCAAAACACGTGCTCATCATTGTGCCCCTCTGTTCCCATCCCTCTTCAGCCCACCCCTGCCTCCCATCCCCTGCAGCTACTCCCTGGAGCTGGACAATGCAGACGCGTACCGCCTGCCGTACCTCGACAGTGAGAGCCACTCTCCTCACTGTGCCTCTCCCGTTCCTCAATCGTTGTGCGTAACCCACCCCTCCCCCCTCCCCCCCCATGCAGCTACTCCCTGGAATTGGACAATGCAGACGTGTACCGCCTGCCGTACCTCGACAGTGGAGAGCCTGGATTCTGTAAGCCATGCCCCAGCCACATGCCATATGTCATGCCCGAAGCACATGCCATATGTCATGCCCCAAGCACATGCCATATGCCATGCCCCAAGAACATGCCATGTGTCATGCCCCAAGCACATGCCATATGCCATCCCCCAAGCACATGCCACATGTCATTCCCCAAGCACATGCCATATACCATGCCCCAAGCACATGCCATGTGTCATGCCCCAAGCACATGCCATATGTCATGCCCCAAGCACATGCCATATGCCATGCCCCAAGCACATGCCATGTGTCATGCCCCAAGCACATGCCATATGTCATGCCCAAGCACATGCCATATGTCATTCCCCAAGCACATGCCGCATACCATGCCCCAAGCACATGCCATATGGCATGGCATAAGCACATGCCATGAGTCATGCCCCACCCACATGCCATATGCCAAGCCCCACCCACATGCCATATGCCAAGCCCAACCCATTCATCTCAGTCACCTGGAAGCAGCATACAAGGCCAGCCCCCAAGCAGGCTTCTTCCCCTCACACCACGCCTCTTGTGCCTTCCGTCTCCCGCCCCCCTCGCCTGCCACCCCCCCCCCCCCCCTCGCCTGCCACCCACCCCCCCCCCCCCCACTCCTCTCCCCTGCCCCCCTCGCCCTGCTACCTCCAGCCCTGTTGGAGACGGCCCGCAAGGCCAACCCCAAGCAGCTGGGGGAGAGGATCCAAAACACGCTCTCCGCCTCTAGGTACGTCTTCTCTCCTCTCCTCTCCTCTCCTCTCCTCTCCTCTCCTCTCCTCTCCTCTCCTCTCCTCTCCTCTCCTCTCCTCTCCTCTCCTCTTTTCTCCTGTTCTGTCCTTTCCTCACCTTTCCCTTCTCCTATCCTCTCCTCTCCTTTCGGCTCCTCCCTTCTCCTCTCTGCTCCGCTTTTCTCCCCTCCTTTCTTCTCCTCTTGTCTCTCATCCTGCCTCTCACCCTAGAATATCCACCTCCATACACCTCCCTGTCATCCCTACCACCGCACTGCACCTCACTGCACAGCTGGACGGTGCCAACAGTGATCGCGTGGGGCAAGGACGACCCATACATCCCCATCACGGAGGCTCAGGCCATCGCCAAGGCCAACTCTTCATCAGTCACTCTTCGGGTGCTGGAGGGCGCTGGGCACACGCCGCAGGAGGATTGGTGAGCCGGTTTGGGGGCAGGGTGTTACAGAGTAGAGGGATGGAGGGGTGGAGTGGTGGAGAGAGGGGGGGCAAGGGCGATCCATACATCCCTATTACAGAAGCTCAGGCCATTGCCAAGGCCAACAGCGCTGCTGTCACTCTCCGGGTGCTGGAGGGCGCGGGGCACACACCGCAGGAGGACTGGTGAGCTGGCTGCGTGGTAGAGGGGTGGAAGGGGGGCGGGGTATATGCATAGGCGGTGTCCTTTCAGGGTGCTGGAGGGCACTGGGCACACGCCCCAGGAGGACTGGTGAGCTTGCAGGGAGGAGGAGGGGAAGTAGAGCGCTACAGGGGTGGGGGATGGAGCGGTTGAGGGGTATAGGGGTAGAATAGTAGATGGATGTGCTTTTGAGGGCACAAGGCAAAGACCGCACGAGGACTGATGAGCTGGACATGTGCGGGGGGGAGCGTTGGGGGGTAGGCAGTAGGAGTGGTAGGGCGGTACATGGATGTTCATTTGAGTCGCCACAGTGGCTGCTCGACACACGTCTCAGGAGGACTGGTGAGTCAGGGGAGCGGTAGAGGGAAGTGGTGTGGGCAGGGACGATCCCCACTTTTGGGGCGCCTCAAAAATTGGCTGGGAACTAGAAGGGAGCCAGAAGGGCAGGTAGAAAGGGGGAAGAGGGATGGGGTGTGGGCAGGGACGACACCTGCACGCCCATCATGGTTTGTAGCAAACCTATCCCGTACGGCTCAGGCTGTAGCGCACCCACCCCCTGCAGCTCATGACGTGGTTAGGCCAGTGTGGGTGGGTGCTATCGCTGAGGGTGCTGCCAGCAGCTGGGCATGCACCTCTTCAGAAGGAGGCTCAGTGTGGCTTTGTGAACGCTGCTTGAGAATTCTCAGGTGGGTATGCAGTGTGGTGGGCTGTGGTAGTGTGGCTTAGTGGAAGCTGTTTGAGAATTCTCAGGTGCTGTGCAGATTCTGACCAGCAGATAGAAGCGTGGACAGGATGTGCATACATTTAGAGGAACACATTACGGTACGTTGGAGACATTCAGCTTACCTTCCCTTGTTATACTGTGCGTTCCACTCCTTTGATACTGACACATGCAGGTCGGAGAAAGTGGTGGATAGCCTTCGTGTCTCCTTCAACTGAGCTGGACAAGGAGTCGTCAAAAGAATGCTATCCTTCTGTCCCTGTCACACATGGCTTTATAACGGATGTCTTAGATTATTACGGTACTACCGTAAACCCCCGTATATAAGACCCTAGGGTATTATGATAATCTGGCCTTAAAAAGTTGGGGGGTATAATTAAATGGTACATATTTTATAAGACCCGGGTCTTTTCAAATTGACTTCTATAAGTCTACTGTTTTGGAGCTCAAAGAAGTGAATTGGAATTGCTCCGTTTTTAGCACCTCCCAAATATACTCGAACTGGTCTCTTCCTGGGCCAAACCCACATCATCACGTACCCTATCTAAAAGCCTCCTCCCATTGGGCACAAACATCACTTGGTGTTGACATAAGCGAGAAGGGCACCGTTTGATGGGCCCGGCGCGCAGTGTCGCCTCGACCTGCACACCCCATGCACGCTTCGTGCGATCCTATAGGGCGGGAGCTTCGGACTCCCGTACTGTCGTCTGGCACGTCCTTGTTTTTGAGGGCTGACTTCACTTCCTCCTCCAGTTTCTTCCCCCCTTACTGTGCTCGGCTGGCTGCCATCTAAAAGATGGTTGCCTGTTCCTTTTTCACCTCGAAGCTAGCAGCCACTTCATCCCCACTTTAGCCGCCATGGTGAAATCACCAGATGCTAGGACGTCCGATGCTCGACGCGGGCGCCGCAAGAAAGTCCAGAAGCCTCCTGTTCTTAGGCCTTCGCCCAGGCCCGTCATGCCAACGCCAAGTTCCTCTAGCAGCGATGAGACAGATAAGGAGCCCAGCGGGAGCCCACGCCGTCCGCTTCCGCAGGTGAAGGTTCCCGTATTTGGAGAGGATTAGGCTGATAATTGGCCTGTGCATGCGCGTTCATGTGTGTGATTGTCTGTACCTGAACATGGAATAGGACCATTTTCCATTGCATTCGCTGAAAATACACACTTCTCTAGGATGTGGGGGGTCTTATAATGTCAGGAGCCATTTAGGGGGGTATAACTCGGATAGACTCAAATAGAGTACCCCCCTCCGTATTATAGACCCGGGGGTCTACAACTGGAGGGGGTCCTATACACGGGGGTTTACGGTAGACGGAAGAAAGAAAGCAGAATCACATTCCCTTGCGATCAAAAGCCCCAGAATGCACCGGCAAACCCTAGACCAGTACCACTTGCAGTACCAATTTCGTAGGCGTCACACCTTCATGATCCATCAGAATCACCATGCCAACATCTCTATCTGTAAACTATGTGAACATTCTCGTTCCTGATGCAATAACCTGAGAATTGATCCAAGCCGTCAGGTCAACACATCGCTGGCAATTGCAGTGAACCAAAAACATCCGAACCAACGAGATGCGCGTTGTCAATCAATGGTAGATGACCAAGTTGCTCCTTGTTACAAAGAAACTATTTTATTGAGAAAGCTTGCTTTCTTATTTTTATCAATTGGCATCGTTCTCATTACAACTGGGCATCGTTCTCATTACAACTGGCTTATTACAACATTTGCATCGAGATTGAACACAAGCTAGTGCATGCTAATATCACTAGCTAAGATGTACCCTATCCAAGTGGCATTAGCAAGGCGTTCTACGCTGGGGTGGGTGGTGGGGATGTTGAGTGAGCCGTTTGAAATAGAGAAACGTGGGTGGAGGGAAATGAGCTCCAACCCACGGTTTTTGTAGTTGGAGAAGGGCGTTTAGCGCGCTTCGACGATGCCAATTGTGCAGTACAAGCAGCTTCGCTTTCACAATACACAATTTTAAAAAACACAATGTGTGTTTAAAAATTATAATATTGAGAAAGCTTGCTTTCTTATTTTTATCAATTGGCATCGTTCTCATTACAACTGGGGTCTCAGAGACATGGGCAGCGGGGGCCTCCTATGGCGTACGAGCGCCTCTGTGTGTTGCGCCGAAGACACCGCCTGCGTCGGATCTTGCAGGTTGCGGGATGCTGTGATGAGAGGCTCGACGTATGGCGTGACGTACATTTCCTTAGCTGTGTCGCTTCGCCATCTGCCCAGCCGTTTGAAGACTCTGTCTGGCACTCCAGTGTTGGCTGCTACTGTGGCCGCGCCTTTTCGGAAAGAGTGAGTGCCGAGCTGCAGCTCTCCCAGACCAACTTTTGCGAAAGCTTCCTTACACCAGTTCCGAATTGTAGTGTATGAAGGCGGCTTCGCTTGGCCTTTGCTGCTTGAAGCGTGCCCGAAGACACGAATCAACGGTCCCTCTGACTGAGGACCATAGCCGGCGAGTTGGATGAAGCGTCGGGTGCAGCGCACTGGGCAACAAGGGTCTGTCGTTGCTGCAATGGGTATCCATGTTCCGTGACCGGCCTGATCGGTCTTAGAGTGTGGTATGAGGATCCACATGACCTCTTCGTCGAATTGGATGTCTTGCCATTGTATGGCCACTAGGTCGGAGTATCGCAGAAATCCTGAGTACATGAGGATGGGGATCAGCCCTTTCTGAAATTCCGCAGGGTCGTCAGACTGCAGGTAACTCCCGGCCATGTCGCGGACTTGTTGGATCGATACGGGTTCCTTCAGACGAGTAGGGCGGGGGCAGTGTCGTTTTGCTCGCGGACTTGGGTGGTAAACGGACCGATTGTTGGGCATTTGTTCCCAGTCATGCGATGGGCGAAGCTTACTGCCGAGCACGTCAGCTGCACTACGGACAGGGTGGCTTTGCGTCGGATTGCGTGAACCAGGTATAGTGCGAGTGTCATGTCGGAAGCTGGAAGAAAGGAGAGATTCACTTTTGTGCAAAATGCTCGAAACTTGGCCCAGTATGGTTCGTATGTCCGGATCGTAGAATCGGCGCGTGACTGCGCGAGCATTTTGATCAGTTGGTCGTGTAACTTTGGGAGCAAATCTGAACACAGGAGTGGACAATATGCATTAGTCAAATACCACTCGCAGTGCAATGATTGGGCTATGCGGTAGTCCCGTGCCCGAGAAGGCAGTAGAATGGGACCCTGTATCTAGGCATTGGCTTCCGTGTGTGAGAGGGATGTGCGCGTGGATGTGTGGAGCCCAAGTACATAGGGAGGGTTGCAAAAGTGGCCACCAACTTGCGCCTGGCCAGTGCGGGACTATTAATGTGAGTGATGCATGGGTGCGTTGTGCATGGTGGAGGACGGCTGGGACCAGTTGGGGTGGGGGGAAGGCGAAGTTGTTTTCGGTTGTCCATGCGATCGAGAACGCATCAACTGCGATGGCTTCCGGGTGGGGGATCTTGGTGCAAAAGCGCGAGAGTTGGGTGTTGTGAGAGTTTGCAAAGAGGTCGATGGAATGCGGACCCCAACGACGTTCTAAGATGCGAAACCACGGCTTCTTCAACGCGTAGTCGTCGTGGTCGACCATTTTTGAAAGCTCGTCAGCATGTGAGTTGAGCTCTCGCGGGATCCATTCAATGATCAAGCGCGTGCCGAGCCCCATGCATGTTCGGATGATGCTTTTGCAAGCCATTGTGAGGTCAGAGCTGTGAGAGCCGCCTTTGCGAAGGATGAAGAATACGCCCTGGTTGTCCACCCGCACGAGAACGTGTTTTTGCTTGATCTTGTTGGCGTACGTTTGGAGCGCCCAAAGGACGCCTTCGATCTCCCGCCGCGTGCTGGACGTTGCCTGTAGTGGCTCTGACATGGTTGCGCTCGCTTCTTCGAGGCCACCCGGAAATGTAGTTAGAGTGGCGCCCCAACCATGAGAGCTGGCATCCACATGAATTACCGCATCGTAGCTGTTCCGGACGTGGAAAGGTGCACCGTTGAACCGGTCGAACTCCTCAAGCCAAAAGTGTAGCTCCTCTGCTGCGGCTGGGGGGATGACCACGTTGCTTTTCCATGACGGTGCGTCGTTGATTACTTGTAACATGGCGTGGCTGAATGCGCGAGCGGTCGCGCCAAGTGCGACCCCCATTGATGCGAGCATGCCTGTGATTCTGGCCACGTGGCGGACCGGGACTGGTCGGCATGCCTTGCTTGCGCTCAGGAGGTTTTGGATGGTTGCATGTAGTGAGGCTCGTCGGTCGGGACCGATGGAGAATCGACCGGTATCGGTTTCCAGCTCTACACCCAAAAATCGTAGGCGTTGCGATGGTGACAGCTGTGATTTCTTCGCGTTTATCACGAGTCCTGCCTCTTTAAGGTCCAATATCACACGCTGGCAGATCGCTTGCGCATGGTCTTTCGACTGACAGAGGAATAAGATGTCGTCCACGTAAGGGATGAC